TGGTTATCAGATATCAAAAAATTAATAAAAAAAATTAAAATAAAAATTAATTTTTTAATACATAAAATTGGTGTAAAGAATATGCCTTTAAAATTATTTTTTAAAAAATTAGTCCCCAAAACGTGTGAAAATTAACTTGAAAACCTTTAAATGTAAAATGAAGAACACTTAAAACAGCATGTTGGTCTATTTGCAGGGGCACCTTCAAAGATGCTTGGAAAGTAGAATGGTTCACTGTGGTGTGGTCCTTGTGGCTATGGCAAAATCGGACGATTTGATAAAATTCGGTCCTTTTCGTTGGATTAAAGCTAAACTTTGGCCGGCTTTTGTCTCAAGAACCGTGGCGCAAATCTTTCCAAATAGTTTTACTTCGTTTTTCTTTGTGAGTGCTAAAAAATCCTCAATGGCGCCCGCATTGTGTCACGTCCTTTATGAAAAAGGTATGTCAAATTTTTTTTTGACATCCCTCTATTTTTAAGTAGTTGACCTTCAGCTAAGATGTATTAGTAGGACGTCAATTTTTTAATGTTGTAAGACTGTGGGTTATGTTCCTATTAGTAACTTTGTCTTAGTCAATTGGTTAAAATATCAATTTAGTTCTTTAATTTTTAAATTTGTATTAAAATTATTTTTTAAGTCTAAAATATACCAAAATTATTTTTAAACTTTAATTTTTAAAACCAAAATAGTTTTCGAACTTTGAAAATAATACCAATTCAATCTTTAAAACTTGAATTACAAATATCAATTTAGTTTTTTAATTTTGATTATATATTAATTTGATTCGTGAATGGAAATACATCACTATAACAAAATTAATTGTTTGATTTTTCATGCTATTAGTATTTAAAAAACTAATTTTTTAATAAAATAACAAGTTATGTGATATTTTTATTCATAGAAAGACTTTTTTGGTATTGAAAATTAAAATTTAAAGATAATTTTAATATTTTTTAAAATTGAGAAATAATTTCAATATAACTTTAAACATTGAGGCACCAAATTTAGTATTTTAACCTAGTCAATTTTAAGGACTTAAAAAACTGTTAAGATGTATCTAAGAGTGATTGAACATAGACCAGGTGTGATTGCCAAAAAAATTGACTAATAATGATGTGAAAAAAAAAAATACATTCAAATTAATTTCATAGACCAAACAGTTCACTCTAATCCAGTGATATGAACCTTTAGTTTGAACTATTTACCTCTTGTGAGTGACGTGTTCGAACCCTGCAGATCCTTTTTCCTCTTTTCTCACTTAATATATGTAAATAATTTTAATTTGTTAAAAAAAATTAATTTCACAGACCAAAAGTTATTTAGACTTACAAACTAATTCTGAAATTAAGTCTATAGACTCAGTACTATCTCCAGCAGACTAAACCAATGAACTATTAGGAAACTTTTCATAAATAACTCTAATAATAAGTACTACTTGCAAACTTCAATTTGATAAATAACTCTAATAACAAGTGTCAATTAACTTAAGCCACTTAACTAATGTTTTGTGTCCATTAGTAGCTGAGAGAGCATGCCAATCTTGAACTCTTTCTTTCTTGCATTGGGTGAGTTTTTTTAGTAGTTGCTGTGTGACTTTATGTTTTGAGTTTGTTTTGGGAAAATATGTTGTTAAGTTTGTTGTCCGTTAATTGTTATAATTTTTATTGTGTTTGAATTAAATACCTCTTATACTTATATTGAATAAATTTTATTTTTGTTGATAAAAAAAAAGACGCTTAACAAATGAAAACTCCATAATCCACCTTACTAATGAAACTAGCCAAAATAATCAACCAATAAGTCTAATGAATAAACTAATCAAGATCTGTGGATTTTTAGATTGAACTAGGAAATAACGATGTGAATTTTTAGACTTTCTCCTCAGAACTTTTATTGATCCAAACACGAAATTTTTAGATTGGATGTGAAATTTGGTTGGCATTGTTACCAGAGCAAAAGAGTTAAAGAATACAACTCGGCCACGTAAGGAATTTATGCTTCTTGGACTTTGGGAAATAGGGGAAGAGATAAGATCAGAAAAGAGGAATTGGCGAGTTGTTACCCACGTTTGTTTCCTGTCAGGTTGTGGGGTGGGATTCGTTTTGGCAGGGAAAACGACCAAAAATTTGAGAATGGCCGTCGGTTCAATGGGAAAGTTCGCCAACATTTTACCATTTTTCCTCTTTTTTTTAACCAAAAAATAAAAAACTTTCTTTCAAGTTTCTTTCTATAGGAACGTACGTTTTTCCTTTGAACATTATTATTCTTTCCATTTTGATGTTTTGACAACGAAAATTTTATTGCAAATCTCCACATAACATCAAATAAATAGTTGCATATTAATGTATCTCACTTCAATTGAAAAGATAATAAAATTAACGTCATATAATGGTATAAGATTTTATTATTAATAAATTATTATTTTTATTATAGTTTTTGAGGTTTTTTTCTTTAAACTTTTTTTAATGGAGAATATATGAATAATCTTCATTAAACAAAATTGGTTCACAAGCCTGCATAAAGATTAAGGGTATGTTTAGAATTGGTATAAGATACTATAATTATAGTTGTAATTATAACTATATTGAACTATATTGTATTGTAATTATAACTGAAAATTATTTTAATATTTAATTATTTATTTTTTAAAAATATTATAAATGAAAAATATAATAAATTTTATTAATTATTAATTAAAATTTTAAAAAATTATTATATGATGATAATTATTTAAATAGATAATATTTATTATTTATTAATAATTTAGGTTTTTAGATTTTTTAAGTTTCTTATAACAAGTGTTTTTTTAAGTTTTGCAAAAAAGCAACTCAGGGAGTGAACTTTTAATTTTTTATGAAATCTTCAAACAAACAAGATATTAAATTTAAATAAAATATTATAAATTATAATGTAATTGAATTAAACCAAATTG